GGTGACGCACGGGAAGAGGTCCAGCCCTGGAAGAGAACACGGGTGATGCACGGGAAGAGGTCGAGCCCTGAGAGAGAAGGCAGGTGACGCACAGAAGCTGGCGGGGGCAGCATTCGAGGCTGCCTTGGGTGCTGACCTTGTTCCACAGTCACTTTATGGACATGTTTTGAAAGGTCAAACCTTTGACCTTCGCCTTCCCACAAAGCCTATCCCCTTTGGGGTGAAGATGAAGACTGAGTGAGGGCCACACTGGAATGGTCTCCCGCAGCACTCGGGTCACACAGCCCGGGGACCCTCAGTTAGCCTCCTGGGCCTCAGATGGTTCAAGCTCTGAAATGATGGGATTTGACCCTTCCAACTGGCAAGGGGGAGATGCTCTTGCCCCGGGGGCCAAGAAGCACATCTCAAGGTCACAGGAGGAGGCCGGGAGGTGGGGTAAGATGAGCACACGACTCAAGGACTCTGCATGGCATCCGGTCTGGTGACACCACGTACCAAGGAGCTCTTTGTGATTTACTCCCAATACCTTTGTCTGAAGGAGCCACAGGAGCATCTACGGCGGAGAAAACGGAGAGCTTTGCTTCGTCAATGTCCTGCTGTGTGAATCTCCCCGACTTAGCCCAGTCCACGGCCTTCGCAAAAGACTGGAGCGTTTCTGTTGAGTGTGGATCCCTAGGAGACCCAGAGAGAGAGATCCTCGCACTTACCAACTGAAGAGTAAATGACAATCACGTTCCGACGTCACAGGTCTTCCACGTTTTCTAGTCATTAACAGCTCTACTTTAGCACTTACTCCAAACAGCCCATGGAGGAAAATCTGTACTCTGCATGATGTATTCCCCGTCTCCTTGGAGACGTGGCCTGTCCACCCAGCTTCGCCACCAGATAGTTAAATACACCTGTCTGTGATTTCACTAGGAGAGGGAGCCAGGTGGATGGAGGAGAGTCGGGATTGAATGGAAATAACAGAAGACTGGTGTAGAACAGCTAAGACAGGTGGAGTGAAAATCCACACTTGTGTACGTACACCCACAGCAGGGCCGTCTGCCGAGCCCTCCCCCTCTGAGTAGAAAGAGCTCCAGAGCCCTTCACTCATACTGTCGACACAGCAGAGACGAGTCTTGTGGGGGCGGTGAGGGTGGGCTCACCGTCTGCCTGTCTGTCCTTCTCTAGAAGCTCCTAGCACAAACACAGCCGGTCAGCACCGACAGAATGTCGTTCAACAACAGCCCATGGCTCTGCAGACCCGAGGGCCCAGCCCCTATACGGGGGCTCTTGGAGTAAATCGAGCCCAGAGGGCTCTGGGCTGTCTCCTGCTGATACAATAGTTACCAAACGCCAGGATGATTTAAGGCAAAACGTTTCCTGTTCTCTCTCGCTGTCCTGAAAACCTAACCCCGAAAGGATATTGCTGGGTGTGGCTCAGTGCCAAAGAAGTGGGAAAAAAGTGGAAACAGCCCTTGTTTTTCTCAAGTTCACTCCAGTGTCTAACGACACTGGATTAACAGACCCGGTGACGTCGGGGAGGGGGGCTGCGTCTCCACGGGCACACACCGGCCAAACTCACCGGTATGAGTAGAGCGTGAAGACACCACTACGGCTCAGCTTAGCTCCGCCACCGTACGCACCACCTTTCTCTCGAATTTCTGTGTGCAAGAACTTAGCTGTCATCAAACACGCCAGGATCTTGAGACTGAAATGAATGATTAAAAAATGCAAGTTAAAAAACAAGGCTGACAGGGAAGTAAAGTATATAATACAAAGTAATCCAAAATGCTGTCAAGTGTAAGTGAAAACAAAAATAAAGTCAAGTTGTAAAGTCATATATACATTTTAATCTGTGCATTTCAACTTGTGCAGAGGGGCTCCGCGCTTCCCAACAGGACTGGGGGGCTCACCCTCCAGGTGTGTCTTTTTTTATAGAAATTTCTATTATTTCTATATTACATAAGGAATACACGTTCACTGCTGGAAAACTATAAAATGCCAAAGAGGAGAAAAAATCTATAATCCCACTACCCAGGGGTACCCCTTGTAACATTTTAGTATTTTAAATCGACATTTTCCTGTTCAACGGTAGAAATACGTATCACTACATGTGAAGGCAAAGCTTAGGGAGCACATGTTTATTTTGCATAAATATGAAAATGAACTGACAAAAGAGCTGAGTAACACATCTTGATTCCATCTTCTACACGGAAGCGTTCCTCTCGCACCAGCGGCAGCCTCGTGTTTCCGTCTGAGTTGGTCCGCACCCACCAGGCATCTTCCCTCCCTCTCAGGGCAGGCCACCTCACTCTCTTCTGTTGTGGCCACGCCCCCGCCCCCACCCCGACTCCTTACCTGGCATGGTCCGGGTCTGTGTAAGGCGCGGTCCTAACACATTCACCCACGTAGTTCACGGGGAAGGGAAGCAGGAAATGCGTCTTCATCTGGCAAGGACTGAAGGTGGGGTCCTACAGAGGAAGGGGGGTGTAAGGTTCAGACCCAGGGGTGCTGCTGTGCAGGCACAGCCTGACCTCCTGAGTGCGCCTGGGCGCCACCAGCTAGGTTCTCCTGTCAGGGCAGGGCACTGAGGTTATGTCGTCCACACCACTGCTCATTTCACAACACAGATGAAATGTCCCAGCCTTGGCACAGGCTGCACAACGTACTGTCACACAGTTAGGAACATTTTGGTCTATATCATCCACGTTGGTGGCTGACTGTGTGACCTCATCTTCTCATTTTTCTCCAGGAACATGTTAAACTGCCCTCCTCTGTGATGAGACAAACCAATACCACAATCACCAAAGCTGAGTGAGTAGAAGGGATCACACCACCCAACTGAAGGTGAATTAACACCGACTCAGCAGTTGGTTATGTGAAATCAGGGTAGACTGCGCAGTGCAGTGACAAACGTCTTCACAGCACAAGGACAGGCACGCAGCCCGCTCTGCGTCCAAGAGACAGGACTCTGGGGGCCCCACGTTCCGGGGCAGTGAGGCACCCGATGGTAATCTAAGGACAGGTCCCCCCAGGCTCCCCGCAGGAGCAGCTTGGAGGGCCGCCAGACACTCAGTGGGGCACAGACAGCGTGGACCGGCTCGTCCTGAAGTGACAGGTGCTGGTTAACGTACCGTGATCAGCTTCCTCGTGACCTGGCAGCCACTAGCGTGTGTGCTTCCACCCAGTCCACTAGGCACAGGCTTCTAAAAATACAATGTTTCCAAGAGAAATGAGAAAAGTCCTAAACTCACAAGAAATAGGGAAGAAGGTGCGTTCCAGAACTCACGGGGCTAACAACAAGTGTCAGGGCACACGTGCTCAAGTGCTGTAGACGACAACACCTTAAGCAGATGGCACTTCCTTTCAGAAACAAGAACACAGGTGGGGCTGAGGGGGCCCCTCAAAGCCAGGCAGACCCACCCACACGGGGCAGGGATGTGTGGACGAGACGGAGGAGAGAGAAGTAACTCCTCTGCAGCATCCTGCGCGGGGCCAGCTCCTCCAGTGAGAAGTAAGGCTTCCCTACTGCTCCTGGGAGCTAGATTAAAGCCCACGCTGTAGATTAATCCCATTGATTAGACTGTACTAGATACAATTATGCTAGAGAAACAGCCTCCCAGCAGCAGCGAGACAGGCTCATGAGTCACTGTTTGGGGGCGTTCTCGGACAGGTGCACCCCAGGCCCGAGAGCTTCCCCACCAGGAGACTGTTCAGTGCACGGCTCAGTGACAATGAGGGAGCCCAGGGCCACAGGCCAAACCACAGGGCCTGACGTCACTCCTTACCTGGGTCAACACCAGACAAGCTCCCCCTCCTCCTGAGCTCGGCCCCTCATCTGCGACCGGGGCAGCGGCCCCGCACACAGGCTCCAGGGACCAGTCCTCACAGGAGTTGGGACCCACCCCGGACGTGCTGCGTCAGCGCTGTCTCACCTCCACCACGTGCGGGCGCACAGGTTTCCGTTCCTTTTTACTTCGACTAAGGCTGCCGATGAAGTTTTCTACCGCTTTTTCTGCCTGAGACATCTGCTGAGGAGTAGCATTCACTGAACATCTGTTTTAAAACCACATACGTGTAGATAACCGTTACTATAAAAAATAGAACACTGTTTTACTAGTTCAGTACATTTTGTGTAAATAATACAAAAATAAAAGTGAATAATACATTGTTTTGTATAAAATAATGCTTGAAAAATGTCAAAAAAAAATAGTAGCCAAATAACAGAAATAATACACGTGGAAAGTGACGAAAAACACTTTCAAGATATCAAAAAGCCTTCCATATATTTCAATGTGTTATTTATTTTTTTTAATTTTGTGAGCAAGACTAGCCCTGAGCTAACATCTGTTGCCAATCCTCCTATTTTTGCTGAGGAAGACTGGCCCTGGGCTAGCATCCATGCCCGTCTTCCTCTACTTTATATGGGACGCCACCACAGCATGGCTTGACAAGCAGTGCGTGGGTGCGCACCTGGGATCCGAACATTCGAGCCCCGGGCCGCTGAAGTGGAGTGCACAAACTTAACCGCTATGCCACCGGGCTGGCCCCCTATCTCAATGTGTTATTAATAACAGCAATCAAGACGCAAAGACAGCATTTCTGACTCTAAATTCTGTTCTTCTGAAGATGCAGGAGAACATGGAGAATATTAAGATCTGCCAACAATGCCTTCAGACTTAAATTACTGTCTAGAAGAGAAGTCAACAATTTGAAAATGTGAACTGGTCATTAAAGTAGAAAATTATAAGTTGCCAAAGAATTACCACACTCTCAAAAAATGTTTTTATATACCTCTTCCAAATTCTACAGACTCACAAATACTACCATATCAAAGTTACCTGAATTATAGTTTATTGACAGAGTGCACTGTCTTTCTTTTTGGCCCTGAATCCTCAATCTATTAGTAGAATTAGGAGTAGCTACCATTATAGTAACACTAACCATATTCCCCGCACTAGACCAACTCCTCTGCATACACTCTTTTACTTCTTGCTACAAATCTGAAAAGGAGCGTTTTATGGGGAAGGAAACAGAAGGTCCACGTGTTTAAGCTGCCCGAGGCACCGTGGGTGTAGGTGTAAGTGTCACTTACACTTCCAGGAGCTGGAAGTCAGGCTGCCCAGCACTGACCTCGGGCTCCCCTCCTGTTGCCCTGAAAGAACCTGCCGGTGATTCCCAAGGACCGCTGGGGGAGAGGTAACGGGACTCGACATAGAGCTACAAACTCATCTAAATCTGTGTCACCGACGGTGAAATGCAGAAAAGACACCCACTGTCAGTCACTGTTCAATTTTGTCACGCTCACACACCTAGGGCTTAGGGCCAACTGTGTGTGGATGGCCAAGCTGCTCGATGTCTTCCTCAAACCGATGTATAATTATTCTTACGAGAAACTGTGTTTGTACTCTGCCCTTGAGCAAGCTAACCTTTACTGGTCTCGCGGATGGCTCATTTACAGACCGTTCGCTATTTACTTTTGGAAGCAACGTAACTAAATATTTGCAGTAAATCTACCTTGCAGTTTTAGGATTAAATTAGCTTGCTTTCTTCCCTCCCTTCCACAACATTCATTAAACTTAAAATACTACTTTTTTTCTTACATTAAATGATCTCTTAATTATTAGCACCAGTGAAGTCTAGAATCAATCCTCTAATCCACATCAAGCATTCTTTCTGAAGGTTAAGGTGACGTAACTTAACTTCAAGCGGAAGCACCTACACACGACACTTGCTGAAATGGGATGAATGGCGAGATCTCTGCTCAGAAACAAGCAAGGACCCACCTCATGTTGTCACAGGTCAGCAGGTGTTTCCTGATGCGAGGGAGCTTTCTCAGGACCGGTCTGACGTCCGTCATTTCCGCAATCCTTTTCATCAGCCGCACCTAGGCCAGAGGGACTGACTCGTGAGGCAGACCGAACCCCTGGCAGAGTGGAGGCCCCACCTCCTCAGTCTGGAAACCAGACACCGTGACACGGGGACCCATCTGTGCCTCTGGGTGGGATGCTCGATCCCAGCTTGGAGAGGGGAGGGGCTGGGGGTGGGAAGAGGAAGTGAGTTAAAAAAGTATTTTTCCCTCACAAAATCTGTGAGTTAGCTTTTCTGATATAAACAATTTACTACCAACTCTGGAAGAGCTGGCCAACCCCGAGTCACAAATGTCGCCTCAAGCTCGGCACCTGATCCATCCCACTGAAGGTCTCCTGGAGGTCCCCCGCGGGCGTCAGGGTCCTGCTGGCTCTGACGGACGCGTAGAGATGGCCCGAGTCCGGGATGCCATTGGATAGCTCTTGAGCGGCCATCTTCACCAACACTCTGAAGTGTTCTTCTTCTTCAAAGCACGGGCTGTGGAAAAAGGAAAATACAGTTAAGTTCCTGGAAACCCACCCATACCCCTTTGTATCATAGAAAATTTATTAAGTATAAGTTTCCAGACGATGTAAACATCCTCAGAAATTTTACAAGTCCATAGGAATTATAAGTAAAATTAGGCTTGGACATCAACAACCAACAAGTGAGTAAACCTTCCACTGTCAGTACACTGCAGACCCGGATCTCTGATGTCCCGGGATTAACATCTTTGCACATCAATTACTTGTTAAATATCTCACTCCACAGATGCATCATGTCTGGCAGGTTTCTATCGAGGCAGAAGGATGAAAAAAGCACTCCCTAAGTCATGAAAGAAAAAGAAGAGAAAGAAATTAACGATGACATCATTTAAAAGGAGAAGAAAAGACTCGGAGAAACAAGTTTTGGAGCAACATGATGTGGGAACAAAGCGCCACCTGCTCGTAGGTGTCCAGGTGGGAGTCATCAGGCAGCACGTGGGCAGAGGCGGTCATGCCCCCCGTCTTCAGCTCAATCTGCTGAGCCTGCTCTCTGTAGTCGAGAACCCCGCAGCCCAGCCTGTCAACAGCAAGGAAAGTTTCCCCAGTTAGCCACGCAGTCTCGGCCACAGCCTCCTGAGTCACGCAGCTGGATTCATCCAGTCACCACAGCTTCACCAGCCTCTTCACCCCCAACCTGCACAGCACAGACGCCTTCCCACAGCACCCTCTGCACTGTCCACCCGCCCTCTCCCCGGGGGACTCCGGCCTCTCCTGCTCAGGGAGTTCACTGAGAGTCCAGTCCTCCAGACACTCAGGCAGCCGCTGCCCAGCACGACAAATGAAACACTCAACTGCTTCCCAGCGCTACGCTTTCAAATGTTTACAAGCCTTCCCCCCTCTTCCAAAACATTGTCACACAGACGGCATCTGCTCCAGTATCGGGTAGTCTCAGGAAGGAGATCTGAAGAATAAGCCTTTCTGAGTTTTCAAGAATAGGAGAAGTCATCTCAACATTGATGACGCTTTTGGAAGAAACATTCTAACCGCTGCTCCTAATGCAAGAAACAATTCAAGCCAAGGTGACAACCATGAGGTTTTTTCTAAAACCGCCAGGCCATAAAAGGACAAGCAGTGGGAGCGATGATAAAAAAGGGTAGAGAGCTCTGAAAAGGTCAAGAGCATTTTTCATGTGACGTGACACTCGGCCAGAGCGCAGGGGAGCCCCGTCCATCCAGCTCCTGCAAGATGAAGACCGCATGCCCCTGACTGAGGATGGCGAGCCTTGTCCTGTTTGCTGCAGAGGTCTCGCCTCTGCCCCAACACGGGAGAGCCTACGGAAGCCTACGGCTCCGACCACCCGCCACTCAGCCTGCTGCCCTCGGCCACCAAGACGGAGCAGAGGACAGGGACACGCGGCGGTGTGTGCGCCCTTCGGCATCCTCAGAGCTACTCACAGACCTCTGCTCACCAGGGACACAGGGATTACAGATGAGCTCACGGAGGGGTACACGACACGGCCTCTCACAGTGGCCCCAGGCCTATGCCAAAGATTTAACTACTTTAATTAAATTACTTTATTTAATTGTTTTCTAATGAAAAACAATCATTTGCTCCACAGTCTCAAAAAAAACTAGTCGTTGAGATAGATGTATCTGTATTATCTTATATTCTAGGTTTAAAAATAATGTACTGGGCCGGCCCCGTGGCTTAGCGGTTGGGTGCACGAGCTCCGCTACTGGCGGCCCGGGTTCAGATCCCGGGCGCGCACCGACGCACCGCTTCTCCGGCCATGCTGAGGCCACGTCCCACATACAGCAACTAGAGGGATGTGCAACTATGACATACAACTATCTAGTGGGGCTTTGGGGAAAAAGAAAGAGAAAAAAGGAGGAGGATTGGCAATAGATCTTAGCTCAGAGCCAGTCTTCCTCAGCAAAAAGAGGAGAATTAGTATGGATGTTAGCTCAGGGCTGATCTTCCTCACAAAAATAATAAATAAATAAATAAAAATAATGTACTATATTCTAGTAAGAAAATATGATTTTCCTAAAAAATTCTCAACAAAGATAGTGAACACTTACTTATACACTGTAACCACACTATGGGTTTTGAAGAATAAAATGGTTCACTGGAAAGTGATTACTGATGCTTGAAAACAAAATAAATACACACACAGAAAATACCCATTAATAACACATACTAAGACACGGGGAATTACATAAATGTGTGTCTTTGTCCCCACAGGAGCCTCTTACTTGGTGAGGACGCTGCAGAAGAGCGGCACGTAGGGCCTGAGCTCCTCAGGCAGGGTGTTTAAGCTGGAGAAGGCTCTGAAGTACACCACGCCGTTGGTGGGTTGGGCACAGTACTGCACGGGGATTTCTCCAGCTGCAGAAGCAAAAGGCATTGAAGTTTTACAATTTCTCAACATATAATCATTGTTTAGTATTTTAAAAATAACACTAATGCTTTTCCAGGGTGGAGGTTTAAAGTTTCTATTTGCGAAGAAATACTATTGATTTGGCATAATGTAGACAAATTTCCCTATTGTACTTCTATTATGGGAAACACTGAGCGTCTTCAACACTAGAGTAACCCCTGCTCTCTGAAGGGTGAGAGCAGGAGGAGGGTGTTCTTCAGGCTCTGTAACTAGCCGGTGCTCAGGCTGGTCCGTCCCTCCCCGTCCACCTCACCACCTCTGCGCAGGCTCTCCTCATCACCAGAGTGGTCTCTGAAGCTCACTCCTGCAACATCTGACCCCACTCCTTCACCCATCCCAAAGGCCACGCGTCTTCCTAATGAGTCGCACCCCCAGCTCGCAGCCCCAGCCTGTGGGTCCATCCTGTTCTTGGCAACCCCCGGCCGCTGTGCTCCCAGTCCTTCAGGGGTTATTTACGGCATGCTCTTTCTTACCTCCCTAGCACAGAGCCCTAGACCAGCAGAAGAACTGAGGCACTGACTGACGACTGATTTACCCTCATTAATTCTGTTACTGAATACTTCCTGAGCTCCACCAATAAACCCAAACTGGGTGGGGATTAAAGGATCAGTGGGGGGGGGCCGGCCCGGTGGCACAAGCGGTTAAGTCCGCATGCTCTGCTATGGTGGCCCGGGGTTCGCCGGTTCGGATCCCGGGCGCACACGGATGCACCGCTTGTCAAGCCATGCTGTGGCAGCATCCCATATAAAGTGGAGGAAGATGGGCACGGATGTTAGCCCAGGGC